ACAATTTTGCATGACGGAATCGAATTGCCGAGTCCTCCGGGGCACCGCGCCACGTGAATTAAACATAATTCAATAACATCAACTCAGACTGACACCAATCCTATACATTATAAGTTACAAGCTTTTGCCCGCGATTACGTCTGCGTGGAATTAAAGAAAAAAACAAAAGTAAGACTAATGTGTTCTTCCAGATTTTGTTCTAAATCTAGGTATACCAAATTTCATTAAGATCCGTTCAGCAGTTTAGGCTACAAACTCCAACAAACATTCATCCATCCATCGATCTAAAAAATCGTATTTATAAGAATGTTTACGTTACATTTAATTTTTTTTTACATGTAATAGTTATGACTCAAGGACACAATATTAGTTATGAAAAATTTACTTCACCTTCTTTAGGTAAATTTGAAATGTCAAAATCTATACAAATTATAATTGTGCGCAAACGTATCCTTTATAATGCACACGCACTTATAACTAAATTATCGAAGAATTGTTTAGTAGCGCTTTATTTATACACTACCCAATTATTAGTTGTGCAACTAAATAGTTGAATTTGCTGCGAAACAATCGACAATCGCAACAGTTGTGTGATGATTTACTCAAAGATATATACACTACTACATATACATATATTATGCCTACTCTTGTGCCCTCTCTATGCCCATACATATATTATACATACTCTTACTATAATTATTTTAAAATTATATAATACTTAATTCAATAACAATGCAAATTATTATTGCATTTTTTTTAAATAAACGTGTTCAAATATCGCATAAAAGTATACGTCAATAAATCGAAAAGAGTAAATAATATTCTCTAGCGTATTCGTATTTCAAACATCGGTACGAATCTCAATAACGAAGGCAAACACAATTTGCTACTCAAATTATATCTGTATCGCTTAATTTCGATCCAACTTCCAGCTTCCAATTGGATTAATTCGAGTCAAATGGGTTAATTAACTCGGCGCTGCTTTCATGTTTTATTTGCACAAACGAATGTCTACAGATACTGAATGATAATTCAAATTAACCAATGACGCGATACGTTTTGAAGTAGGCAGATAATAAAATGTATGTTTAGACTTTGATTTAGTATTTGTTTTGGATATAGAATCAAGTGTTTTTAGCTTATATATGCTAATATTATAAAGGGGAAAGATTTGTATTTTTGTATATTTTGAAATAACTCAAAAACTAGTGGGCCGATATCAAAAATTCTACACCATTGAAAAGGTATGTTATCATTGAGTAACATATGCTTTTTACTATATTTTTAATTCCACGTGAACAAAGTTGCGAGCAACAGCCAGTTATGTATGTAATAATGGTTTTGACTTCAACAATTACAATAAATGTCACTTAGAATTCAATAGGAATTATCTATTTCAAAACTTTTCATTTACAAATACAAAGGCATCAAAAATTCATGTTATTTGATTATGAAATTAATTTATACACGTGCGTGAAACGGAACGTTTAATAAGGTTAAAAATATTTCACAGATTAAAAATCAGTTCTCACACTAAACATGTCATAAACAAAAGAGTTCTTTATTTGAATCGGTGACAAGAATCTCGCCTTGGAAGATGGCTGGTGTCTACAAAAAAATTCTCAAATAGTATTTTGCTCGTTTACATTCAATTCAAGAACAGCCGGTGGGTTTTGTGACGTGCTATACTCTAATGAAATAAGTGGCTGAATGCTGATTTAAATCTACATTTAAAAGACGAAAAATCTACTCATTCGCATACAAAGCATTTAGTATATTTAGCGTTTATATCATCATTATTTAATCGATTGTTTTTGACCGACTTCCCAAAAGAAGGAGGTACTCAATTCGTCGATATGTTTTTTTTTAATTTTTTTAATTTATTAAGTCGGTGTCAGTCAATGTAGATTCATTACTTAAACGTTACTATACTTACAATTGTTAATTGTTATAGTAAAAATGTGGAAACCCTGACGTATAAATATCACTGCATACCTCGGCTGACACCGACATCAAAGTAATAATAATTGTACAATATAGACATAACAGCTACAATAAGGGAGGTTTACTATATTCAAGGAATTATTTCGTTACTTTTTAGTATACTGTTTTTTTTATGAGAATATTTCGTTTTTAGTGTATTTTGTTGTACAATAACGGAAATTTAGTTAATTAGTTTTAAGCAATCACTCAACTACAATTTAAAAAAATACATACACAACTATTCTACTATATCTAATTACCTATAGTAATGCGATATTCGGAGGTACACTAATGACACGGGTGCGACACGTATACGACGCGGATGCGCCGCGGTGGGTGTTGTAATGCGACAACGACACTGTAAACAGGATTAGCAGGAACACGACCCCACGCGCGTAGACAGGACGAGCCAATACAATCAGAGTGCGATATAGTGAATGTAGACATATATATGTTTTGTCTAGTTATTTAATTGTCTACTAGTAATTTTCCTATAACGTAAACGCTCCTATTACTTGTGTAACATTAATACCGCAGGTAAATGATAGTTTTCTAAATAGGCCGGTAATAGGAGCGGATTTTGATTCGTTATTAGGTGCGTTTACGTTACTAAAATTAATCGGATAACATAACTAAATAATCTTCATTTATTTGTTAAGCGGGAATAGTTCATTATTAATTCTAATAGGTAACAATCGTTTTGTAATATACCAAGAATATATCGTTTATGCCTGTCTGGTAATGCAAGCGCATTGAAGCCAAAAAGTCGATAAAACTCTAACCAGAATAAGCATCTCTAAATGTTCTTATGTCTATTCGCTGACGTCATGCGCGGCAGTGTATGCGCCCGCGCATCGTTTAACCGATTCATAGGACCATTAATGTCATTTATACGGACGACTGGCGAGGATGCACACGTGGGTCACCGCCGCTCCTAATGCCTGCAATTGAATTTCATTGCCATTTTCCTCCCGCAAATAAAGTTATGTCACTATGATAATAATAAAACTAACTGATATAACACGCTGTAACTATTGTAACTGGTTGATTTATTTATAAACGAGATGTCGACCGCATACTTCGTTAGCGCTAATTTGGACAGACAGATAGACAGACAGAAATTGTTAAATTGCGAATTTTGTTATCACAAACGCAAAAACATCATCTTCTCGAAATTGTAACGATGTAACAAACAGACACTCCAATTTCATTATATGTATAGTATACTAAACGTTTGGATACATAGCGTGTGAGCATTAGGTATATTTAGCGTAGAATTAATAAAATAGAATTGAACAATTTATCGAACAAAGTTTTTATAAGTATAAGTAACTAGCACGTGTATCTTTGTCATGAAACTAAAGGTATCTTGTAAGGAATTTGTCGTTCATTGAAATACTTAATTTTGACATTTAATTAAAAAAATATATAATAGTTACGGATTGAACAAATTGAAAATAGTATTATGAAATTATGTATTATATATTATAATAAATGGTATTCATAAGATAACTCGTCGACAAATCGCATATTACTAAACATTCTAGTTTTACTAAAAGAAATATTATTAATTCACTGATTTTAAAAAAACAGTGTTAAGAGTAATTTATCGAAATATCAGGAGCACATCAAATAGAGGACCGTGGGTTCTGTTTATCCCATTGGGTTATGGGTACGTAAGTTATGTTATTGAATAGACAATATAACATAGATACGTATCTCTTCATCGGTATCAGTTTGCAAAGGACGCGGCTCACATAAATCAATTATATTCGATGAGTAAATTGCATCGCGAGCGGGACACACACTGCAGTTTCAACACACACGATCGTTTACTGCATTAATATGACGTAACTGCATTACTCGGTACATTGCATATTATCTATACACTAGTTTATGTAGAAGGTGCATAGCTATAGGTTGACCGAAGATGGATGGAACGAGAAAGAGGATATGCGTAAGTGAATTCAGATATGACAGCTAATAGAGATGTATGGATAATTTACGCCGACTCTCCGTAGGGACAAGCGTAAGATATGCTCTCGATATCATACACATCAGGTAGATCTTGCCTAATATTATAAATGCGAAAGTTTAGATGGATAGATGGATGTTTGTTGGAGTTTGTAGCCTAAACGGCTGAACGGATATCGATGAAATTTGACATAGATGTAAAGGATAGCCTGGAAGAATACATAGAATACTTTTTTTTAAATTACCACGTGGACTAAATCGCGGACAAAAACTAGTATTTGAAAAGATATGTAATTTAAAAATCGTGCAGAAATATTACGTTATATATTTAGCATTCAATCAATGGTTCGAATCAACTTTGATGTGTGATTACGATGTGTCTCGGCCCGAGCGCAATTACAGCGCTTAAAGCTTTTATAGAAGACCGAGGGATATTTAGTACATATCTAGATGCGAAGTGCTATCCGAGCTTGTAACCGACCTGTTATTAACGCGGCGTCGTTTCTATGCTAATGTGATGTATTAGATCGCTCTTTGTTATCAATTGCTATACGATTGTGTCACGATTCGAGTTCTATCCTGCGTTATTTAGATCGAATGGTATACCTAATTCTAGTCAAGTTCCCTTTCCTTCCCACATACAGCAACTGAAAAGACTTAATGGAATGTATACAAATGTTATAAAGCAAAAAGATTTATGTTTTTGGATTTTTATATTTTTGTATAAATTGAAATAACTCAAAAATTACTGGACCGATTTTAAAAATCTTTTACCGTTAGAAAGATAATTTATCTGTGAGTGACGTGGGCTATATTTGGGCATGGGCTTTTATTATTTTTTTAATAACATTCGGGCGACGTCGCAAGCAAGAGCTAGTAAGAGATAAAACGATTACGTCTTTTCTGATTATCCCCTCTTCTTCCTTTGCCTATTTAAAGTATCTGCAAGTTTTTGTATCTGTCACGTTATGTGACACCTTGGATGTTTAGGATAACACAATGACCAATAGTAAAGCTTATACTTATGCGAGTGTAAATTTCAGCTGGCGAACGGCAGCGGCGGCGGCCGCGGCCTGTTCTGCTACCATTGCCCGCCGAGCCTGCCGCCGCATCAGCACCGCCTGCCAACACTAGAATACCCATTCTCAGCTTCACACCCCTGTGAGTAATAATTTTAAACTGAATTGTACGAGGTTTAGTTTACACATTATCTGTGCTCCGCTATATTGTTCAGTTAGTTATTATTGCTTTCTAAAGGCATATAATTTTAATTACAAAAAATTAATGATAACCTAGTAAATGATTTACTTACTTCATGTAACAACGTAAATCAAAAATTGGTTGTTTCTCTTAGGACCTCTGTAGCTATAAAGGATTGCACAGGTTTGTTTAACGTTGTGCATTAAAATTTGAACTACTAAATATAGAAGTTAAAATTTTACAGTTGTAAAATATTTTAATATGAATGCATATTTCGATCTTTTACTTGACTATAAAATGGATACTCCATTTGTTAAACTCTTTTCTAGCGCTCTAGAGTTTTATAAAAGTAATGAAATGATATCGATTCTTTAAAAGTTAATTATTTAAAAATAAATAAAGAGATACATGTTATTCTAAATATAATGTTCGTAAGATACGGGTTTCTTACCACGATTGAATTGTTTTAGCTCGTGGTAAGAAACCCGTATCTTACGAACATTATATTTGTAAAAACCACGACAGTTTAAAGTTATATATGGTATTCTAAATGTTATTTTATTTATAAATGGAATTAAATGTTTAAGTGGCGTTACGTAACTGCATTTGCAAGAGTCCTCGATTAGCTCAGTTATCGGTCGCGAAACTTCAGTAAGCAAGTTTGTTGTAGCCGCAGCCCGGATAATGGAGTTAAGCCAGTTAAGACCCCCACTTCCCCCCCGACTTGTCTCGATTCACAACTCGATTCTGTCTTGAAATTCGATACTATTCGATTTTGAAACTTACTTTACGGAGTTAGTTATATTCAATCTTATTTATCTTTGTTAATTTTTCCCAAATTAAATTATTGCTGTGATAAAAAATTAAATTTGAATTACAACCTCTGCTATCAGTAAAGTAATTTAATTATAACCTAATTAACTATAGATTTATTTTCATAAATTGATGAGATGATGATTGAGAATGAAAAACGATTTATACTACATTGGATCTTCTAATTCTTTACGCAAAAATCAAATGATTGAAACCGATCAATTCATGAAAACTAAGTAAAAGAAATAGGTTATAAAAATCAGTTGCGTTACCCCATCCGGTGTAGGTGTCCGTAGAGGTGGTGTCGGGGGGTGGGGGATGGTAATGTGGTAATGAATAGAGAAGGCAGGGCAGGGTGTGGGGCTGCGCGGGGTTCGGGCGCGGCGCGGGGGAGGTGAAAGGCGCCGCTGGGCGGGGCTCCCCGGTCCCCCGGGATTGGTCGCCGGCGCCATTTATTATTCATAAAATAGTTTTTGAACAGCACCGCCGTCGCGTAACTCGGTTACTCGCAAACTAATTCAATAAGGATCATGTCACTTTGGATTAGTCCCGACGCTCGCCGCGTTTTTTAACTTTAATGCGACGCTATCAAAGGACCTCGTAACGGCGTTAGCGAGCGCCCTTATTTCATTAGGGCCGTCCGAAATGACAGCCCGCCCGCCGGTAATTGCGTAAGCTTGTTAATTTTTAAAATCTATTAACGAATTGCGAACCGGTGCGAAACGAAGTTTTTAAAAGCCCGACGCTACGGCGGCTAGTGGATGAATAAAAAAGCGGTTTAAACGAATCTATTAAATATGTACGCGGCAATTTCCCGACCGCGCCGCTGCTGCCCCCTCGCGGCCTCATTAGGACAATCGTATTTCAAGTTGACTATCGTCTGTTGATAAAGATGTTACTACGATATTTTAATAGACAAATTATAATTTCTTCATAGAAAATAATTATAGTAACTAATTGAACAAAAATACGTTTATATTGATTCGATTAAACTCGTATAACTCGGACCTATTTGATAACATTAATTAAATTAGTTGGATAAAAAATTGATTTATTTTTACATAAAATAATGTTATAAAAATCAGAACCTAGCAGAATACAATAAGAATCTTATAAACATTCTCTTCTGTATCCACTAAAAGTTTTGAACAATTACTTCCACGTTAAAATTAAAAAGGAGCTTATTTCATACATTTTAAGCTAAGCTTTGTTGCCACTATTTATAAATCGGTGTTGCATTTACGAGGCGCGCTCAAACTTTTTCCCGCTGCACTTAAGCCTCCGCCGACTTCCGGTTTGCGGAGCAATTTTTAATTTCCGCTGCCCGGGGATTTTTCTCCTGCTTTTGATGAAGGCTCAATTTTTAATATTCAATTAATGGAAAATATTTTTAATCTGCACTTTAAAATGCTTTAGCCATCTTATAAATTAAAATTTATATCGTATTTGATAACGTTTCTAAACGCTATAAGTACTTAGAGCGGGCACACATTTGACTAATTTATCGCACAACTGTTGTTTAGTTGCACAACTAAAAATCGAATAGTGTGCGTACTTCCATAGAAATCAATACGAAATAAAACATTGTGCGATAGTTTAGTTTCAGGTGTGCGCTTATACTTAAACTAGCTGTTCCCGTGCGATTCATTCGCATGACATTATGACAATTGTTTTATTGATAACATTTGTCAAATTCAATTGCAAATGTCAATGACATGACATGATGACAAAGTATGGCAATTTTGCTTCCTTGATGTTGGCAGCAACTTATGGTCTCTTTCCCACATTACGGTTTTTATCCAAAATATTTACCCCCTAAGTTTAATGGCGTGAAAATTTATAGTCTAAAGCATGACGTAAGTGTGGGGCTTTTTATTAAAAAAGAACTATTCAAAAAAATGCTGTAATTGCTGACATATTAGGCAACAAAGAAGTGTGTGTTTACGCTTTATTATAATAGTATGGATGAGATCTAATCATAAGACTTGCCACAAACCGTTTAATTATTTTCAAATACGTTTTATTAATTAACTATATTTCGTATGTTTTTTAGAATGGAGCAAACCCAATATCTCAGTAAATATTAGTAGTAAGGTAAAAATGTAATAGAAATGGATAATAAAGAGTAATAAACGTCATTTAGGGTGAAGACAGCTGTAATCCCTAACGCGAGGGCAATCTGCGACTGCCGGAATGACATTATCAGGAGGAATAATAGAAAAGTTAGTTGTAGGGGAGATTCCTCATTGAATCTATCGTTATTTTGTAGAGTGACCATGATATTCCTGATTATAATAAACGATATTTTCTTATTGTAACTAAAAATATATTGTTAACAACTAATTTAATACCAGTTTAATTTCTAAATTTTGATAACAATTTCATTTTTAATATTGTACAAGTTAATTAAATTAGTGAATTATTATACCAGACTATCCTTTGTTTATTTTATTCAAAAATATATTTTAATTGTCTCAATTATTTTATTAAAAAGTTGAATTTAATAACTACAGAAACACTAAAAACTGTAAAAAAAAATATTTTTAAAACTTTCGCTTTCTAACATTATTTCGTCTACAACATATAAAAGGTATACAAAAAATATGAAAGATGACAAATTAGAAATACCATGAAATAAGAACATGTATCATAAATCCCATTAACTTTGTATTGACTCTAGTTTAATAGTGTGTCCACCTCATCAATATCTCGGGACATACGGATCCCATAGAGATAGCACGTCGCTGGGCGCGATCACTGCCTGCCTAATGGCCCGTCATTTCCGGAATACTCTAATTTTATGGGTACTCTACCTCTTATAATGATAGCATTTAATACTTTATTTACTTTACTGAATAGAAGAAAAACTATTTGTTGTTTCCATACTTTCGTTAGAGTTATTTCATTGAATTATAAGTGTTTGATTCTTATATGTGATATTTACTAAAAAAATGAAAAGTAAAATTAAAAAAAAGAGTATACAAGTTATTTATATCTTCCATTTGCTTGTCAGGTTGTCCTTCGACATAGGCCTCCCCTAGATTCTTAAACCGGTAACTGTTCAGTTCTCAATTTTGCTTACACGAGTTACATTTATCTGAACGATTCACCTGTTCAGATAAAACAGAGCGTGTATAGTGGGCTTTTGTTTCTACCTTAATACTCGCTAACTCCGTGGGGTCTTTTAATATTATAAATAACTAGCTTTCGCCCGCGACCCCGTTCGTGTAGAATTAAATAAAAACAAAAGTGTGAATGTGTTCTTCCATACTATCGTCTACATCTCTACCAAATTTCATCGAAATCCGTTCAGCCGTTTAGGCTACAAACTCTCACAAGCATTTATTTATCCATCTAAACTTTCGCATTTATAATATTAGTATGATCTATAATAAGCGATTGTTTAGGTCAACATTAGTATCTATGTGTGGCAGTTAGAAATATAAAGTAAGTAATATTTAAAAATTAAATAAATCAACATTTTTGTTTTCCTACAGACACAAGCTATTCCTACCACCCGGCGATACACGATGACACGTTCGTACGTCGCAAGCAGCGCCGGAACAGGACCACATTCACGTTACAGCAGGTACTAACGATTGTGGATTGTGGAGTGTTGTTGGATGATTGTGACCATGTTAAAGAACACCAACACCCATGGCCCCACCGATACTCGACTAGTGACTAATGGCGGGACCACACACGGTCCGACCACACGCACCTTCTTAACTCCATACAATTACTTACAAATTATATCATCTCTTAATTTTACTCTTTGTCTATTCTAGACACCACGTAGAAGACCATCTGATTTATACTTCCTGAAAGAATTTTGCAAAGAGTTTGAATGTAATGTTTTGCCATTTGTATGTTTTATTGTAATTGTAATTTATTTATTATACGTTTTATTCCAGCTGGAGGAATTGGAGACAGCTTTCGCTCAAACACATTACCCTGATGTCTTCACCCGAGAGGATCTCGCTCTCAAGATTAACCTCACCGAAGCCAGAGTACAGGTATGTTATATTTATAAATGACTACCTTTCGCCTGCGACTTCGTCCGCGCGGATTAAAAAAAAACAAAAGCAAGTAGCCTATGTGTTCTTCCAGACTATCCTCTACATCTATGCCAAATTTCATCGAAATCCGGTAAGCCGTTTAAGCTACAAACTCTAATAAACATCCATCCATTCATCTAAACTTTCGCATTTATAAAAATTAGTAAGAATTACCTAATAAATACATTTTATGTATGCAACAGACGTGTATAAGACGTGTATAAGTACTTAAAACACAAGGTTTTCATTTCAATAGTTTTCGCGATTCGTATGTTCTGGTCTCTCATTCTCATATTCAAAGAGTCGCATGTAATAAAAATATCGTGAAAACTATGACGTCGTAAACTTATGAATGGTTTACGAGGCGCGTGGCGACGCCCGCCATCTAGCGGATATTATAGAAGTCGACGGCCGGAGTTTATGTTCGTCCCGAGCTTGTAAATTCATGATTTAACTGTCGCTCGTGTCTCGGTAATGTGTTTTGACGTATCGCATTTTTGCGAGTCGAGAAAATATCTATGAATGTTATCGCATAACTGTGGAATACTACCGGTAATATATTGTTTTTATATAAGCGTTTCATCAGTAGAAACCTACGGTAACATATATAACCTTTATTGAAATTATATTCATTTACCTTAAACCGAGACAAGAATAAAACATCATTTTAATTAATACAACAATAACATAAGATTAGAAATTTACATCTACTTCTTTATCACTAGCTGTTGCCCCCGACTTCATTCACGCAATATTAATAGAATAAAGTAGCCTATAATATGCCATCTATGTCAGCTACCTTTCAGTGAAAGTCTGGTTAAAATCGGGCCAGCCGTTTCAGAGATTAATCGGAACAAACGCAGCTTGCGGACAGACAGACAGACAGACAAAAGTTTTAAATGCGATTTTGGTCATCAGCAACGCAATTATATCATTTTCCAGAAATTTTGAATTTTTCTTTTCAGAAGACTAAACAGACAGTCCAATTTTATTACATGTATATAGATGAAGGTACGAAGTGGAAGAATAATTAAAAATAAATAGTCTTAGTTAGATATTCTATTTACTGCATATACGAATAGGTATGTGAGGAGCAATTGAGTTTTATTTATACGATCCGCGGGAAGCCGGCACATGCAATATCTCGAGAGCTTTTACCGCGCCGGGTGAACTTTTTAAAGTGAAATTCATTTTAGATTTTATTTTCACATTCCTATGTAGATAGAGAGGCATGCTAACAGACGTTAAGTGGAAACGAGTCACGTTTAAACGTATTCCTTTAAAGCAAATATAAACTTGTTGTAATATTTCGACTACAGAATATTATAGTAATAATGTAGAAGTGTATGAAGGTATCGTATAATAAAAAGCTCTTAAAACTTTTATCAAAACTAACTCTAAAATATCTAATAGATCTTTAATCTGTTAAAACTAAAATATGTCTCTAGTTATAAGAGTTTTTTAAATAACTTAGTGTCAATTTTAATCTATTGCTGCTCCTGCAAGGAAATCATTGACATGTTTGTGCGTTTAAAATCTTAATTGATGAAATAATAAAATTAAACCTAGTTAAGAAAACAAAGATCGTTTGTTTGTTAATATTTTATGTTTTAAAACTAAAAATGTATAGATTATTTTCCAGTGGATGTTCAAAATCACAAAAGTCGATAATTCGATATGTAACAGATATTAGAAGAGGATTCAATGTTATTTATGGTCATAAAATTAATTTATACATACGAAGTGTAAACCAGGGTTAAGAGAGGATCGGTCGTAGCACGTAATACGCGGTTTTAGGCAAATTGCTCGGCGCAACCGCGCTTCTTTTATTTATGTTCAAATAAAAAATTGCCCAATTCACGGTCTGAGTACGGCAGCTCCGTTTTAGTGGCGACGTGGCTTAGCTTTTATGACCGTTCAATATTTGCTTAGAAATCTCCTGGTTTGTTTGACGACAAAATATAATTTTTACTTATTGAATGTGGCTTGTGGGTTAAAAATTTATGTGAAAAACCGTAATTTTGAAAATATTTCATACCATTTTCTCATTTACTTCACTCTCTAAAAATAATTTTTGTTCACTTAGTTAACTGTTTTGTAAAAATAGCAAAAAAAGACAAACGCTTTTCCAATTCGGAAGTTAATTTTAACGAGTGCTTTTTTCGATGTCTACTCGCTACACAATACCACACAACACACTACATGTGTAAGTCGATATCCAATTTGTTCGGCCCGTCGATCCCGACCTAACCACTTCCATTAGTTAACTACCGTCCATTGTCAAAATCCACTCTAGTTCGTTGCCGAAACCACCAAAACAGTTGAGAATTGAACGGATAGATCGCCACTGATATTTGACCTCTGTAGATAGAAGCAATCGTCCCCATATCAGTATAAGTTCGTGTATAGTGGGGGCGGGGGAGGTCAAGTTATAGCGGTGGCATGTAACGTGTTTAAGTCGCTCATCTCGAAATGGTATTACGGCACAACCCCCCGCGCGGGATTAGCCCCTCTCACACCTTGCACACGTGCTTCTGGGATTCAGGGCTGTCACTGATTGGTTAAGTTTTTACGATTTTCATTGAGTTCCTATAATATTAAATAAAACCGAATATTTTCGAATCATACGAAATTGTAAAAAAACTTTTATAATATCTATCTATTTCATTTTCAGAATACATTTTACTCTATTATTATAAATTCGAGAAAACTCGAACAACAAATGTAGAAATTTAGCAAGCTTTTTAGGTACCTGATACACAAGATCTAAAAAAAAATAAGTTAATTCTTCAGCAAACATGTTCATAATTCTCCGTAGCGGTTTTGTTCAACCCTATTACATCGTAATATAATTGAGTCGGCTTTCAATTTGATTCACATCCTCGTCCGGTCGCGGAGTGTCGGTGATAATTCGCCCGAAAAATATAAAAAGAAAGTACCGACCGTCCGACATATTGGATTACGGAGGCCCAACGCGGGGAACATACCTCTACACTAAATGCTACAACTCTCCACAAATTCGCTCACAATATGACAGATAAGCTAACGTATTGGATTTAATACTGTAAAAGCTCCATTTCTTACCTTTCATATTTTTGTTTTTCACATTGAAATTGAATTCTACTTTCGATATGTTTGTTATTTAAGTGATACAATTTCTTACTCTACTTTATAACTTCTACTCTACTTATAAAGAAGTACATGCGATATTTTGTATATTTATCAAAGAATTTTAAACAATCTTACTGCTTATTCAATTATTAGTTAAATTTATATAGGTACATAGACAACATTATAAATGCGAAAGTTTAGATGGATGTTTGTTAGAGTTAGTAACCTAAACTGCTAAAAGGATCACGATGAAATTTGTCATAGGTTTAGAGCATAGTCAGGAAGAACACATAGGCTACACAGTCGCGGGGAAAGGTAGTAAATATAGCATTAATCCGATTGGATCTGAATTTTATCCAAGTCCATTTTCTAAAAACTGAGTTTCTACTCTAAAATTTTGATCATTAAAATATTGCATAAATAAAAAAAAACTATAGAATAAAAAATATCCTAACACAATAACGAAATAAACGCAGTCGCGAGTCGAGCATATTTGTGTTGCTCTCAATCCAATACAGATGAGATTGACGCAGCTCTAGAGACGCGAGTTAAAACAATAGCGTGCACAAGTGTGCAAACATTGGAACAATAAGACAATGTCCTGTACAATAGCGCTGCAAGCGACGCCGGGGGGCACGATACATCGCGACTACCGATTGTAACGTGCTACTTATTGTTAAGCTTAATTGCTGGCTACGAGTGCTACGCAAACTGTGTGCTACGAAATTTCTTAATTACGTAGCCGATAGATGTTACCTGAATTAAATTTAAAATAGCATCTAAATAGTACTCCAATAAAACTACAATTTGCGTGTATAATTCACTAGCTATCGCCCGCTGATTCCGTCAGTGTGGAATAAAAAAAACAAAAGTGCTTATGTGTTCTTCCAGACTATGCTCTGTCTTTTCCAAATTTCGTAAAGATTTGTTTAGTCGTGTAGGCGGCGAACTCTAACAAACATCAATCCATCTTAACTTTCGCATTTATAATATTAGTAAGATTTGAAGTTGAATTAAAAAATTGATAAGCAAGAAAACTTTCTGTGTACCCTATGAAATGTATATCAATAATTGTACAGTGCAATGATAATTGCATTATGTTATGTTTGTAATAATTCTTGTAACTGATCCTAACTCTCTGGAGACGTACTCTGAGCACAGAACACGCAACCCTATCCGCGTGCGACCATTGCTAACGACGCGACGTGTCATTATAATTTTACTTTTGTACATACGGAATGAAACTATGAGAATCAAAATATTAAAATATAGATAAAAGTACATAATAATTATATCTAATAATTTTATAATTAAAATTCAATATGCAGATAATGGCTTCGTTTTATTTGTTGATTGATTGAAATAAATTATAAAGAAAGTTTCCAACATAAATGTTTAAAGTAACTAAGTCGAATTCAGTAATTAATCATACTAATATTATAAATGCGAAGGTTTAGATGGATGGATGGACGGTTGGATGGATGTTTGTTAGAGTTTGTAGCCTAAGCTGTTGAACGGATTTCGATTAAATTTGGTATAGATGTAGAGAATAGTCTGGAAGAACACATAGGCTACTCACTTTTATTCTTTTTTTATTCCTCGGGGACGGAGTTGCGGGAGAGAGCTAGTAAGAAATATTTCAAAGTGAGAAATAATTCTTATTATTGTTATGAAAACGCATCATTTAATAATCACAATAAACAAACGTATGTCGTCGAGTACACTCCACTTGGCACTCGGCGCCGCTCTCGCCCGCCTCTTTATCAATCACTCCTCCACAATCAAATCGGGGGTGAAAATGAAATACGTCATTTTGTTTTACTTTCACTGAAGGTGATTTAGTTATG